AGATATCCTCATTTCTGAGTCTATCACGCAGAGAAACCCTGAGCATAGCCTTCTCCATAGCTCGCTGAGCAACCTTGAGCGTCCTCATACGGCCAGCAGTGAAGGACCACGTCTCAGATCCGTAAGTCATCACTGGCAACACGCACTGGTGTACAATCTAGTTTTCAGAGTTTGAGGTATACCTGACGAGAAGATGTGTCGTAATTTCCCGAACGCTGCCCAGCCGAGTTGAATCCGTCGATTGACCTCTCGGTCGAAGTTAGACTTACCTAGTCGGACTATTTGTCACAGGTAAACTTACTCGTCAACAACTTCGAACATAGTACTCTCAACAACTACTGGTATAGGTGTGACATGGACATTAAACATGATCTTTATTTTGTCCATGTTCATCTTAAGACCTATCCGTTGGGAGACACCATTGAAGTCATTGAGCATAGTGCTTAGGTCCTCCACCGATTCTCCCATAAGAACTATATCGTCAGCAAATCGGAGGTGAGTGATGTACTCGCCATTGATGTTAATACCGTATCCTTTCCAGTCCAGTAGCTTGAAAACGTCTTGCAATGCAGCGGTGAAGAGTTTCGGGGATATAACGTCACCCTGTCCTACACCTCTCTGCAGTTAGATAGGTTTCGAGCTCTGGTTTTGTACTCGGATAGCCATCGCAGCCCTACTGTACAAACACTTCAGCACTTCGATATACCGACAGTCAACTTGGCACCGCTGAAAGGACTGTAGCACCGCTTAAATTTCGACGAATTCGTTCGATTCTCATAGCCCATACGAGATTCCATGCGCCAGGCAAAGTGGCAGATTGTACTCTTCGGTCTTCTGTACAATCTACCGCAGGGTGTGTATGTGGTCTATGGTACTGAAGCCTTTTCGGAAACCGGCTTGTTCGGGAGGCTGGAAGTCGTCGAGTCTGCGTGCGAGACGATTTGTAATGACTCTCGAAAACAGCACGTAGACGCGGCTCAGAAGAGAAATCGGTCTGTAGTTCTTCAAGTGAGCGTTGTTTTTTCTTTTTACGATGATGTGTACAGCTGCCCATAAAACCTTTTAATCTCACTCAAAATCTCAGGTGTCCCGGAAACGATGCTGCTACATTTGGTCTTCAGCTTTGACAGTTGGATCTTTCTGGCAAACAGATCTCTGGCAAAGACTTTGGAGTCCTGGTTCCGCTCGATCGCTTCTTTAATACGAGCAGTATTAAAGTTGCGTAAGTCTCGCCGCATGCATTTGGAGATCTGTCTGTTCAGTTGCCTTTATGCTGTCAAATCTGTTGACGGTTGCAGCCTCATCTGTCTAACTACCATAAGATTGAGAGTGTAATCGGAGAGTTTTTGTGTTTTTCTGCGGCAGGTCCTGCAGAACTTAGCTCCGACCGCATGGACAGTTTCCACGATCGTCACTCATATCGTCCACTGCATTTCAACCTTCTAAACACTGAAAACGGATTTGTAACTCGAGCCGAAAGGTTTCGGGATTCTGGATTAGAGCACGAGGGGATGGAGCGTTGACTTCATTAGACGAGACCTCTCCAACTTAAGGTTAGGTTCAGTGTACCTCTAACCATTCGGTGATCGCTACCAGTTTTCACCCTTGCGATCACTGAGACATCACTGAACAGTTGGCGTCTGGTCGCTGGCCCCTTTTGGTTCCGTTGCCCTACCCCCAATTTCCGTAAATTCAGCTCACCGTTCTTTCATGTGCCCTGTTTGCGTTGAAGTCTACCATTAACACCGTATAGTGAGTTTTGGAGGAATGCATGGCTCTAGAAATATCCTCATACATTTCTTTCACCTCCTCATCGGGATGTTCCGACGTTGGCGCGTAAACCTTTATGACCTTCAGCGAATACCGTTTGGTGATTCTGAGTATAAGGTACGCAACCCTCGTCGATACACTACCAATCTTTAAAACACTGTTAACGAGAGACTTGTGGACGATAAATCCAACACCTCCTTGGGACAGATGGTCGCCCTCCTGGTGATTGAACAAGTTGCCGAATTCAAGAATCACCGTGTCCTCCCCCTCTCTTCGGACCTCGGATAATCCTATAATATTCCAGCGCAACTTGTCTATCTCTTCTTCCAGCTCCAGGATCTTCTCGTCAGTCCTCAGGGTGCGTGCGTTAAATGTTGCCGGGTTGAGTCGTCGTAGGTGGCAACCGAACCACCACTGGAGATTTTTAGCACCCCCTGCCCCGCCACCATGGTCGCCACCGTAGCCAAGAATAGCGGGGCCGCCAGGGACTGGGGGCCGTCTATTTGTGTAATTTTTCATGGAGGGTATATTGCCTTAGTTGCCACGCTTGGCGAGCGGGTTGGCAACCGCAGTTTTTTGTTGTTGTACAGTTGCTGTTATCAGGAAGATGCTGCTGCCCATCACCTGCCTGTTTCCCTCTGGCTGTTTTACGACACCCATGGGAAGATATGGGGTAGTGGATATTCTTAACCGCCTCTACATGGCACGACGATATCTCAACCCCCAGCAACTGGAGGCAGTCGGTATATTCCAGTGATAAATTTCGGAAAGAAGGAGCCAAGGTGAGCTGGCTCCTTTTTGCAATGAAGAGACACACTTGTGTTTTGGAGGCGTGGAATTTCACAAGATGAACATCGCCCCATTCGTAGATTGCCTGTAGTGTGAGATTCACATGCTCTACCATCGCTTCTCTGTCGGATTGAATTTGATTCCGACTGACCCGAGAACCTGGTTGGTATCTCAGGTATCCACAACTGTGCTGTCGTCAGGGTACTTATATCAGGCATAAGCAAATCATTTATATGCAGCAGGAAGAGAGTTGCAGAGAGAACGGACCCCTGAGGGACCCCGGCGTTAGTCGTCACTGGATCGGATGAGCAGCCATCGACGACGACCCGGAGAGACTGTTCACTCAGAAAGTCCTTTACCCAGTCAACCAGATTAGGGGATAAGCCGTACGCTGGAAGCTTAGCCAGAAGGCTAGCGTGCCAAACTCTGTCAAAGGCCTTTGAGACATCAAGGGAAATGGCAAGTGCTTCCCCACTGTTATCGAATGCCTCGCCCCATACGTGTGTGGCATACGCTAGAAGGTCCCCAGCTGTTCGATTTCGGCGAAACCTGTATTGCCGGTCACTAAGGAGGTCATTCTGTTCTAGGTATGCCATTAAACGAGCGTTCAATATAGGCTCCATAATCTTGCAGAGTATGCAGGTAATTGAGATTGGCTGATAATTGGCAGGATCGGCACGGTTGCCTTTTTTTGGAACAAGCTGCACATTGGCCAGCTTCCATGATTTTGGCACTATTCCAGTCCTTTATGAGAGGCAGAACAAGCGTGTCAACACAGGAGACAACTCAGGTGCACAAGTCTTTAGTGCTATAACTGGTATACCATCTGGTCCACTAGCTTTATTCACGTCTAGACACCACAACCCCCAGTGAGGTAATTTACGTGGAATGTTGTTGCCATTGTTCAGACGTTAACAATAGCCAAATAGAGATGCGAACAAGTCCGCTTTCTCTTTAGCCGTATGTACGTATTATTTACATACTCTATACTTTAATAACAAACAATGAAAACAAGATAAACAGTGATAGTCCATCATTGTTTATCTTGATTGGTGGCACCGAACCCAAGGAGATTGATTATTGTGCATGCAGGGGAAAAAAATTTGATTTTGGAAGGGTGCCGAGTTCATTTTTAAGGCCAAAACCAAAAACGGCAATATTGAGGAAAAAGAGAATGCACCATATCACAGCATACAAGTAAGTAAGTCTCCATCAGTAGCAAATCGAAAAGGTGAGACTACAAAATTGATTACGTAAAAGTGATATACATTATGACGATTCATGTACAAAATATGAGCTTTTAGAATTAGTAAAAACATACAAGCCAGAGAATGATTATGCTATAGATAAATTACCAGCTAATAACGGCCATGAAACATTAAGATTATCACCATACAACTGTGATCTAAGCCGGATAGAATATGTGTGGAATCTGGTTAAACAAAGAGTGGCCAAAAAGGATTTCGATCAGCTGGAAAAAAATATAGGAGTGTTAACGTGTGTAGCAGCCGTGGATTGGCAAAAAGAAGTTAATCACTTCACACACAATCACAGATTGGAAAATGATTATTGGATGATTATTGGTAACAAATGAAAATGACATTGAAATGTTTGGATTTAATATTGGGCTGATTCTGAAAGCGATAGCTGCTCCGATTCTAACAATGATCATGAAAAATAACAATAGAATCAGAAGAAAGTGTTTTCAGATGATTCTGGTGAAAGTTCAAGTAGCAGAATTTAATTTTCTAAGATTACTATATGTAAAAAACAAATGTCTTTAGAGTTTCTTGCCTGTCTATCCTATTTGAAATATTTTCTTGATTGTTATTTAAATTAATATAAGTTTAATTTAAGAAATATATTGTTTTATTGTATAGTCTTTGTGAATAATTTACAGTTCTGTACTTAATGATTTCTTATATTTACGCAAACATTGCACATGATTAAAACTACTTTTACGGATTTTATCGCGTTTATTTTTACTTTTTTATTTTTAATTCCCGACGTTTCGGGCGCTTTCCAGCACCCATGGTCACGGGGGACTGAGATGACTGAGTTCTGTACTTATAAATAATTCAGTTTTATCCAAGCGAAGCCAGTGCGGGTCACTGGTTATAAATGTTATTTTAAATTTAACATGTCTATTTGTGTATATATATAATTCTATTCAAATTTCTAAGTGACCAAATAATATACCTAACATTTTAATTAATATTATAATAATATATCATATTAGCAGGTTTTCTTTATTTGTACTGTGCATATTGACAGTATGGGCTCGATAAGCCACCATATATAATCCCATTCTTTATCCAAGCATTATCATTTGTACAGAACAATATAGCTAATAATAAATCAACCAATAATTGTTTCAGTTGTACATTAAATTGCTTATTTTAAAATAAAATAAATAAATATTTACAAGGTGTATAACCTACCTATATTATTTAAATGTAGTTCTTCAGACTGGAATGTAAAACGAGCATCGGTAACGTCCCTCATAATAGGGTAAAATATAACAGACACAGTACGATAACTTCTGTACATATAAACATCTGTAGCGATTTGTCTTGTTACTAAATGATAGTTATCGAGAATCACCGTCCGTGTTTTCGTCAATTGTTCAATTAATCTCCTTCTTTTATTATCATCTTCAGATTCTTTATCACCATTACTTATCACACAACACACGCATAAGAACAAAAAATAATAAACTTTCATTTTATTTACAATTCTCCTACCTGTAAAACGTGAATATCATGTAGCACGGTTCAAATAATTATTTGGCATTTACAAATATACTCTTTAATAATTATGTAACAGCCTTACTATGGTTAACTATTATTAAAAGATTATACAATGTACATACAATTTTCTATTTATTTTCAACATAAGACGGGACGGCAACTAACATACTGAGAATAAAAACCTGAGCTGACCTAAGTAAAACCAGTGCGACCTGACCTGACAGCCTGACATTGGCAGCTGAGCTGACATTGGCTGACAAGCTGATATCCACCGACATTCAAAGACACGTAATGAGAAAAATATTTTCGGCTTTGATGCTTGTCTTTTAGGCCATATCTTCATTTAATTCATGAGTACATTTAAACGTATTGTTCATGGTTCATCTTACTGTATGTCCCACCAAGGTAATCAGTATAAGCCGGAATTAGGTAGAGTTATTTATGTAGGTAATTACATTGGAATATTGATATTAATATGGATCTTCCCGGGATTTCTTATAGACAATCCCGTGTGAACAACAATATTACAAATAAATAATAATTAAAACCTCAGAGATAGATAATACAAATAAAATAAAGATAAACATATAGATAAACATGCCATTTTTATTAGTATTTAAATTAATTCACAATACAATTACCTATTAACAGTCTTAAGCAAATTCTCATACTCTCTTCGCTTTTTTTTATAAATATGAAAATATTTTACTTCTAACCTAGACTCGTGAGGTTTTGCTTATCCAAATGGCCCATTAGAATCAATTTCCTTGTTCGATTCAATCAAATTACCACTAAGATTTGAAGTATTCGCTTCCGACGTTACTGTATAACTTTTATGAGAATTGAAGTATATAACCATTAGCTATCCAATGTTTTCTGGCTTTAATGAGTTTCTCCGGAAGTCTAAAATCCATTTGTACATTGAAAAACTGCTAATGCACTGCTAATAAAATAAACTGCACTACTAACTAGACTCAATTTAGTTATGCAACTGAATCAACGTCCTACGAAAATGCCAAATTGTTCAGTTGCTTACTGTAAAAAGAAATCTGCCACGTCGTATTTACAAAATGATGTCGTTACCTTAGATTGTAAGTAAATTTTATTGACATTAGTACTATTTATTCCGTTTTAATCTTAAAAATTACAACAATAAAGGTCCATACTTGCCGAAGAAAATTGGTATGATAAAAAGACCGTATTCTTCTTATGAAACTATTACTTTTAATTATTATTAATAATTAGTGCTGCCACCTTTCATTAATCGATAGGATTTAAGACGGGCGACTGTCCAGGCTAAACCAAAACTTGAATATCGCGGTATCAGAGAGTGGCTGACACCAGCCGCGCCGTATGGGAAAGAGCATTATCGTGTATGAGTAGAAATTCCTCGCCCATTTCGATTCTGTGTGGGAAAATAACAGGCTCTACTACCTCCTCGTAGTATTTTTGTGCAGTCATGCTGCCTTGGATCCAAACGAGCTGGGTTCGTCTGCCAAGACGAATTCCTGCGCACACCATGATTGTCCTGCCTTGGTATGGGTGGGCCTTCTGAGGATGCCGTCGACGGCTTACTCTCCCTGGAGTTCACCAAAAGCGTGATCCTTGTGAATTTATATGAAACCCAAACCGGAGCCTGGAGTCCTGGAGCATTTTTAGTAGTTGCATCGCTGTGATATTGGTTTGTCTCCGAACGGTCATTTTGAGAAATCGATCCTGTCTCTGCGTAGTAAGACGATATCTACCTGCGTGTCGATCCCCACATCCCCAGTACTGTGATAACGTGATCACAACCTTGATATCACGTTTTGGCTAGGGTGTAAGGCCTCAGCAACGACGCGTTTAATATTACCATTTTCTAACATACCCACGGCTCGTAACCTTTCATTTCGACTCAAATGACGACGTGACATGACTTTTAAAGCTCACACGGCACGTTAAATCAAAAAGTAAACAATCTAATCCCTTTTCATTAATTTATATCAGGCCTCTTGCCATCGTCCCACAATATACCGTTTGGCTCTAAAATTGCAGGTACGTTTGCACTGGTTAAGGCTCGTCGAATGACGTCATTAATGGCTGCATGGCGAGGGATGCGACCAGTACTCCGCTCGCATGCTAGGCCGTGGTGGCCAAGAATGTCGACCTCTTTACCACAGCGGCAGCGATGGAGCTCATTGGTTTTTAAACTAAAGGATACCAATGGAGAAAGTAGTACGTAGAAATCAAAATTGAAAAAATAAAATGATTATTTTATTCTAATTCCATGTTCATATATAAATGTAAATAATTGTGTTGGTGCTGTAAATACAATATTTCTTATTTTTTATGATTTTGTTCTGTAAGTATAGATTTTATTACTTTTCTATATTTTTTGTTATTTTTGTACATATATATACATTTAATGTAAATAATTTGCATGTCTCTGGCTGATAGGCTTTCCTCAAGGGAGAGGTCAGCGGTGACCACACAACACCTCGTACAGTGTACAGATTGTTCACAACCACGCTTTTTCAAAGGGCAAAGAGGCCTAAATATTCATAAAACCAGAACCCACAAATCATTACAAGTCCAAGATTGCCTTCCACAAATAGATTGCCCATCGAACGAAAACATTTCATTAAAATTAAGCTATTTAAAGTTCAATTGTCCAGTCATAAAAAGAATACCAAGGGGTGCAAGAAATACTGTAGCCCTCTCATTGTCGTCATGCATCAATGACATAATAAATAAAAATGATTCAGAAAGTTGGAAAAAATTACTTACTTTTTCATATCGTACACTACACGTTGCTAAGGATATTGAAGACAATGGCATCTCTCTCACACAAAGAATAAAAGATAATTGCTTTAGCTCAGTAAACTCGGTCGACAATAGTAACACACAGAATGAATTTATAAATAAAATTAGTTACAATATAATTAAAAAAACTGAATCAAAGTTAAACGATGGCGATTTGAGAGGTGCAGCTCGCCTCCTTTTCTCAAGTGATGCGGTGGCCCCTGATACTCCGGAGACTTTGTTTTCCCTGAGGGCTAAACATCCACTTCCATCGGCTCCTGACTCCTCTGAGCGAACACCGGAAGTCACTGCTGAGGAGGTACATGCTGCGATCGATTCCTTTAGTAATGGATCGGCCAGTGGTCTTGATGGTCTTTCACCTCAACATTTGAATGATCTTCTATCAGGTGCTAGGGCAACACTGGCCGAGACCTTCTACAGGTCGAGGTTCGAGGTCTTGACACAACTTGTAAATTTAATGCTTTCCGGAAAAGTTTGCCCAAACATAACGCAGGTACTTTATGGGGCAAACCTGTGCGCCCTTAAAAAAAAGGATGCAACTATTGGGCCCATAGCAGTTGGTAATTTGCAAACATATTCAGCCAGAACTCGCGGATATATTCCAGCCTGTGCAGCTAGGTTTCGGAATAAAAGGCGTCAAGGGGCTGTTCATGCGGCGCGCACCTTTCTGAAACACGGCGGCGGTGAGGTGCTGCTGAAGGTGGATGTTGAACATCCAAATTTTACGTACGTGCTGCGGTGCTCAACTCTTTTTTTTATAGAAGAGGGAGCAAACGAGCATGCTGCTCACCTGATGTTAAGTGACTACCGCCGCCCATGATCAACCGCAACACCAGGGGAATTGCAGGTGCGTTGCCGGCCCTTTAGAAAGGAGTACGCTCTTTTCTTGAAGGTCACCAGGTCGTATCGGTCCGGAAAAATCGCTGGTGGTAAACTATTCCACAGAGAGGTTGTACGCGGAAGAAAACTCCTCTTGAAACGTACAGTGGTGGACCGCCAAGCATCCAGATGGTGTGGATGGTATCGGGATGTTTGCCGCGTAGTGCGTTCACGAAATTTAGCGGCTAGTATTAATCCGAACAATTCCTCAGAGCACTCTCCATGGTATATGCGAAAGAAAATGCAAAGAGATGCAATATCTCTTCGCAGTGCCAGTGAATCGAGCCGATCGGAAAGCACTCGGTCGTCGATGATTCGAGTCGCTCTGCGCTGGATGCGGTCATGTGGAAGGAGCTGGTACTGGGGAGCCCCAGCCCAGAGATGGGAACAGTATTCCATGTGCAGCCGAACCTGCGCCTTGTAAAGTTGCAGGCGGTGTGCCGGCATGAAATACTGTCCCGCTCTGCTGAGCACGCTAAGCGTTTTAGAGGCCAATTTGGCCTTCTCTTCCAAGTGACCACTAAACTGCACGTCACTCGATATGTCGACGCCGAGGATTCCGATACTGGCCAAGGCAACAAGGGAAGTGCCTTGAAACTGAGGAGATACGACAAAGGGGTTCTTTTTAGCGGTTAACGCGCAAACTTGTGTCTTCTGGGGGTTAAACTGGACTAGATTTAGTCGCCCCCAATCCGAGACTCTGTTCAGCAAAGACTCGACTTCAGACACAAGTTTGTCCCGGCACTCGAAGACGTATTCCCGAGAAATATTGGCTCGGCCGGTGTAAAGACCAGTGCTGTCATCTGCATAGCAATGAATGTTACGGGTTTGCAACATATCATTGATATGCAGAAGAAACAGCGTTGGCGATAGCACGCAGCCTTGCAGAACACCAGCATTAATAGGCTTGCAATCGGAGCTTGCACCGTCTACAACGACCTTGATGCCCCGATCTGCAAGAAAGCTGGTGATCCAATCGCACAATTTCTCGGGAAGCCCATAGGAAGGGAGCTTCGAAAGAAGCGCTTTGTGCAAAACCCGATCGAAGGCCTTCGCAATGTCCAAACTAACGGCCAATGCCTTTCCCTTAGACTCTACTGCCTCCGCCCATCTGTGAGTTAGGTAGACCAGAAGATCACCAGCTGACCGACCACGGCAAAAACCGTATTGTCGATCACTAATCAGCTGGTGATCCTCAAGGTACCTCAAGAGGTGACAGTTTACAATGGACAATGGTTTTGGAGAACAAGGTGGTGATGGCGGTGGGCCTGAAGTTGGACGGGTCTGAGCGGT